TTTTTTTTTTTTTTTTTTTTTTTTTTTTTTTTTTTTTTTTTTTTTTTTTTTTTTTGTTTGTTTGTTTGTTTGTTTGTTTGTTTGTTTGTTTCACAGTGTAATGGATTAAAGGCAAAATATCAACTTGGAATTTCCCAGGAAAGGAATTTCAGTCAGATTTTATAACAGGTTTTAAGCAGATTTAGAGAGGTTTAGTTTATGAATTAATAGCACATGCAGAGCATCTGCACTGACCTTGTAGACACTAAAAGCTCTGTCTGAGGCATTTAAGTCAGTTGGGTCAATGATTAACTGATTAAAAATTCTCAGTAGTTTTTTACATAATAGACTATCATATTCTGTCAAGTAAACCATATAAGAGTATTTAGATTTGTAATTCAGAATGAGAAGAACTATTTTTCCTAGAATATAGTAGAGTTATAAAGTAAAGCACTAATAGAATTGCCAGAATAATTTACCATTGCATGACATGAAAGTGGCTTAAATCTCTGCTGGCAGATGAGCACACAGAGTAATGGTTCAAAGTGATCATTACCACTTAATCATGACACGTTCTGCTGGAAGAGCTAGTTATAATTCTTCAAAATGAGACATTTATATTTCCTCAACTCTTTCTCTTCTTCCTCTTTATGGCATATATCAAATGGCAAGGTTCATATTGAAATGAAATTTGTTCAAATTACTTAGTGAATTAGTAGAAGAATGACCATAAAATAGTTATTTATACTTTATTCAAATAATGAAAAGCATTTCAAGCCATAGTTATCACTGTTATCATCACTGACTTGAAAATCTATAGCAAATAACATAATTCTCTTTTTTCCACCAAGCATTTATATTTTATTTATACATTTACAGATGCAGTCAGGTAGCAGTCTCCAACACAATACTAGTTCCATATCCTATTTCTCTTGTTTGATTTTGTGACATTACACTTGCATTGTTTTCTTTTTGTGCCATAGGGTGGAAAGAAATTTAATTATTGCTATTTTTAGTTTACCAAATTAACCTTCTTCAGCAGGAACACCTGCAGAAGGAATCCCTGGAAAGCATACAGAAAATTTTTTTAAACATTTGTGCTTAATACATGAAAGATCATTTGAAAGGATCCATAATAATCCATAAATTATTAAAAATTAGGAAAAGTATTTTTAAAATTACTAGTACCTTGGCTGCCAGTTGAGTCATGCCCAAGGGGCATTAGAAAAGCAAGCACTTTCCAGGTGTTCTGAATTATCTGGGCAAGCCTGCTGAGACTCCTGACTGGGGAACAGGAATGCCTACAGCCCCAAGAAATACCATCAAAGTTTCTCAGGATTAGAGAGAGGTGAGTTGCTTGGATTACTCGGTATCACCCCATTAATGAAACCCAAGGCTTGATGAAGATGTGTAAGAACATCACAGGCCATTAGACACCTCAGTGTTGTATCTCTTGTTGTGCGTTCTTAAACAGCCAGCATTGTCTCCCAGAGCCCTACAAATATTATTGGACTTTTCTAGGTAATTAGAGCCATTTGCACTGAATGATGGATCATTAGGATATTTAAATGCTACTCATATATATGAATGAACTTCAATGAAAGGTTTTTAAATCAGCTCTAAACATGAGTTTTCTGCATACTATGTCTTATCTGAAAAGATGGAGTCTATGTCTTTAGGTTTTGTGGGATAATGCTCTCACTGAAATATTTTATATCCAATGCTACAGCTGTAGGTAGTCAATTAAAAGCAGTAGTAACTGAAGAAATCAAGAGAATCCATCCTTAAAAAAATCAAAAATCAAAAAAATATTAATTTTGTGTCATAAGAGAACTGCAGGGCAAATCAAATGAGTTGATACTTGATCCACAGACAGTGATATTTGACCCACAGACACTGATAAGAGGTAAAGGACTTATGGAGTTACGTGCCAATTTCACATTTCTGGGAAATATTAGCAGTTGCATTTGAGAGGACACAAAGTGCTATTTTAAAGTCTAAATGTAAGATGGAAAGAGTGGATGAAATGTTTTTAGTTCATACAGACGCTTTTTATAGCTTGTTATATAGTAGAATTAAGTTAGAATTAATTTACTCTATCCAAGGCCTTAAATGATCTAGAAAAAAATTTTTTTTTCTTTTATAAAAACTACAGAGAAAAACATTTTGAATTGTAGAACAGAGAAAGACAATTACTCTGGGCGAAATCAATGAGACTATGCACAAGGGAGAGAGGGATACTCAGCATGAGTTAAGGGTTAGTAGAAATAAGCCTTTAGTGTGAAATTCAATCCTGCACTAAGTACCAACACAGACATATCACACGAACCAATTAAGGACCATTTAAGACTGATGTACTTTTTCATTAAGTGTCTCTTAAATGTAAAGCTTGACTAGGTCCTATCAGTCAAATATTCACTTAAAGGTGGCCAATAAAGATAGTAGAAAAGGTTTTCCTTTAATTTACCTTTTCGCCAGGAAAAACCTTGCTGAGAAGCTTGAAAACAGTCTATAGTAACTGGAGGTTAAAAGGTAGTCTGTGCTTTCACAACTCCCTAGCTTATTTGTAATTAGGAGATGCACTGCATTTTACTCTGCAAGGCTGCAGTTCCTCATAGAACAGCTTGTGAATTATCAAGAAAGAGCACTAATTGTTTGTGTGATCATTAATTAGCCATCCTGCCTTTCCATATCATCATTTAACTCCATTAAGCTTAATGTTTATACATATAGTGTATTAATGATCTCGCATACAGCTAGCAGTGGAATACATAGTGATTAGTGAAGCAATAATCACATAAAACATTATAAATTTCATCAGTATTAATGTTAATTTCATCAATTTGCAGCATTGCAATAGAAATCAGAGATGCATTTTCAGAGATAATAAATTATTACCAGACAAAATTATTTCCAGAGGAACAAAACCCCAAGAAAATAACACTGTGAAGTCTTTAACAAACAAAGAGACAGACAAAAAACCTCAAATAAAACATCTCCCCCAAAATTAACACAGAAAATAAGCTGAGCTTCTAGTGAGATCAGTATAATAACTAGAAGTCTGGAAGTTCTCATTTATTTTGGTTCTCCTTTCATGACATCATGATGATATGACAGTGATCATTTTCAGGAGCCATGTTCCTATGTTCTGAAAGAGTTATTCCAAATTTTGGTCAAGACAACTGATATATAGACTGTCTGTGAGCGCTCATAAAAAGGTGACAGAGCTAGTGAGATGTACAGTAAGATTTACATACAAACCACCTCAAAGACTATAAAGATTCAGAAAGTATAAAGTGACACCCCTTTGAATCATTTACCACTTCATACCATGTAGGTTCTCATCCAAGAGTGGTTTTGTTTGGGAAGAGTGGGAAGTAGTGGGAACAGAACACAGTGATGGGGGTATTTTCTGCATTTCACAGCTTAGTGCAATTAATGCATCATGACATTAAGGACCAATGCGTTTAGAACAAATAACAGAAAATATTTTATGCTGAGAATAATAATTAGCCCATGGATTTTTCCATGGCAGATAATGTGTCTGTACGTAATAGGGCTGGGTAATACGTTTGCTAATGCTATTTATGGCTGTGATAATACAGATGATCAAATCTCTTGTGTCAGAGAAATATGATGAAAAGGGAACACTTCTTCCTTTTTCTTACTGTCATTCCATAGTCAGTTAGATGTTTTATGGGTATATAAAATAGAGACATAAAGCATGAGAGGAGCTGTAGAAGAGGAGGCGGACCCATTATGACAAATTCTCTGTTACTTGCTCTGTGAATACTCAATCCAGAATAACCATTGTTGCCAAACTGCAGAAAACGTTAGCTTGGACAAGCAAAGCTGATAAATGTTAGAGCTAAAATAAAACCATGGAGCAGAGCTAAGTGACCCAATAACAATATCTTACAACTTTGTTATTCATATGACACCTAATTTATACTGCTGAGTTCCCCCTGATTTCAACGGCTCCTTGTGATTTACATTACTAAAATGACAGTGAGATCAATTCTTGCACAAAAAGGCATTTTCAGTAGAGATTTTTCTGTCTCAGTGCTCTGTTGCAGAGGTTTAAGCACTATTTTCTCTTTTGTCACTTTGTGGTCAAGACATATTCTCTGTAAGAGGTTCTGGAAGAGTTTTGTCACCCTCCCACTTTCTAACTGAAAGTGTCATTTGCCAGAGTCTGCATTCAGTGTCATACTCTTTAAAAGAATTGCTCTTGGCAACACAGCCTCATGGTATTACAAATCCTGTCACAATATCAATAGTGAAGTGGTAAGAGAGTAGGAATATGGGAATGGTGCTCCATAGTCATGTAGATTGGCAAAGAATAATCTGACTCTTCTCTTGCTCATACCAATGAAATGTTGTCAATCTCGACTACCCTGATTTCTGGTCTGTTTGGAAAACCACTGGAATCAATCTTCACCTGTCCAAAGAAAACAAAGAATTTCAGTTTAAGTGCTCCACAGTTCTAAAGAAGAAACATGAACTTAGTGTGTAAACAGATCAGTAGTGTAATTGTTGTTTCCAATTTCACAGGAAAGTAAATCACCTTAGCAAAATATTCTTTTGGATGAATTTAAAACAAGATCATATGATCCAGCAGACTCCATGTAGAATTTTGTATATCCAGCAAAATGTGTCAAAAAACCACCTAAGAAAACATCAAAGCAGTGTCAAATTTGACCATATCAGACTACTGACTGCAGCCTGCCAGTCACAGAGCCCCACCAGATAACTGGATAAGTCATGACAGAATGAAGCATTTATTTGGTTCTTCCTGTGCATTTTTGAAAACTAATCTCCAAGACAGCAACAGCCTAGAAAGTTTACAGAATTTCCTAAAATTAAGTGGATGCATTCAGATGAAGTGTATAATGTTACAGAAGAAAACTCCATAGTCTTAGTAAAACTAAATGTTTAGTATAACAAACTTGACTATGTTTACCAGAGGAATTATTAGTGATTTCAATATATTATTATTAGTTTGATTTTAATTTTAAGTCTTAGAAAAGGGTGTGAGGTCTTTGTGATAATAATTGTCTGTTATTATCCACTCTGGAAACACCTTGATAGGACAGCTATGCGTAAAAAATCAATAGGAAAAAGTAAAAGGAGCTAAAAGAGAAGAAATTTTAACGTATTTAAACCATTCAATTGTTTCTTTCATTAGACTGTTAGAAGTGTTAACCAAAGAAAAAAGTAAAACCATTGATGGACTTAACCATTATAAAACAGTTACACTGTGCAAATGCAATTAGTTTTCCTTCTGTAAAACCATTAGAAAAGTTAGTGGCTCCCTAAGGTATATTTAAATATTCTTTGATGAATTTTCTTGTGTCATGCTTGAATGTGCATGTGGCACACAATTGCAAAGAATATGTACAGTGGGGTGGGAGCAATCACTTCTCCTATCTAACCATAATATGGCTTCATATATAATCATGAACAATTTACATGTGTTGTATCTGTGCAGGAACAACCACATTTAATGCTTCAATGAAAAGATTCTTGTCAGTCATCTACTCATGGGCAGGTTGCTATCTACAAAACAAGCATTCAGTATGAACACCAGGCCAGGACAGGGTCCTTTGTTAGTGTAGCATGCTCGAGTGAATTAGGAAGATTCAAAACAATTCAAGCATTTTTGTACTTTTAAATCACCTGACTTTCATGTGCCCATATATCAACCTGTCACTAAGTCAGGAAGCAAATGTAGTCTTGTATTGGATGCAGAAAAGGTCCCTGCAAATGCTGAACATCATTCCTGCCAATGGGAGTTACTCATTACAGTTCACCTTGCATCACTGCTGCTACCTTAAAAGCATCCCTTATCCTTAGAGCCTTCACACAATTTTCACTGTTCTATCTTTCTTTCTTTTTCTCCCCATGTGTTGTGTCAGCATTGCAAGTCTGGATAGTACTGCACAGAACTGATGTTTCTGCATCCTCTTGATTTTAGGCACCTTGAAGAGAAAGGAATTTTAACTGTTCATTAAAGGGTATACAAAGGAAAAGCAATCTTCACCAGTTACTATAATGTGGACAATTTTTAGTCTCTGACCTATATGCATGGAAATACATGATAATTACTTCTTGTTTTTACATGAGTGTTGGGATTCTGGCATCCCTGGGATTTGTTCTTAAGACTGGAGTGGGCACAGGCCATTTTACCCAAGCTGCTGCACTTGAGTCCCTCTCTCCTGTTCTCTGCAGTCTTTTTCAGTGTCATTTCCATTCCACCATTACCTCCCCTGCTCTTCTCTGTCCTCAGTCCAGTTTCATTCCTTTCAGTTGTGCAGGATCCATTGGCTTCTCTCACAGCATCTACTTGACTGCTTGCCCTCAGTTCCTCCTGCTCTCCACTGCCCATTTCCAGTTTCTCTCAATTGTGTCTTCAGTATCTTCACAGCAACTTCTCCCACTTTATGTCCCTAGAGACCCTTCTATCTCTCTGTAATCAAATGGGATAGCTTTTACTCTGCTCCTGGAAGTGGCTGAGCTTCTTGGAAATTTTTCTACATTTTTTTCCTGACATTTTTTAAAATCAACCTGAGAATCTTAGACATTTCCAGAGACTTCCAGTCTAAATCCTTCCTGTTTTGTAAAGCCATGAGCAATTGAGAATGTGACTTTATGACTGTAATAATCACAAAGTTTAACAGGAGACAACCTTTTAGCCCTACTTTTTCAGCTGTGCCCAATAATATTTTTTACTCATTATGCCATTTATTCAAAATATTTGATTTCACTGAAATAGTCTCTTCTTGCTATCATGAAAATTAGGGACACCATCACTGCTGTGCTTTAAAAATATTCAAATAGATTTCTGATATCAAAATATAGATATTGCACATCCAAGTCTTGTAGACAATGTGTGAATGGAGGACTGAGCAGAAATAACACTTTTTATTGCTACAAATACATAATTTCTCTTTAAAAACAGGAGGGGGGAAGTAAGTTGTTTGATGGCAATTCTGGTTTTAATTAATTTTTAGGGCCATGAATTAACATAACTCGAAAGTTTGAAGACTGAAGTTTTACTTTGACACTGTACATTAAGATTTAATGACCCAGACTTATTTACACATAAATGAGTTTTTTAATGGTCTAATTAATAAAATGCATCAGTTTGCCTCTTTAAATGAAGGCACTCTAAGGTAATATCTTTTAGTAATTTCAAATGTTTAATAAAAGATGAAAGCCTTCAGTTATTTTAAGTGAGAACTTTTCTAACAAACCGTTTCATTCTAACATGTTACTGCTGCATCAAAAAATTGGACTTTACATTCAGACAAAATTTAAAAATAGGATCAATAAATTTAGGTTAAAATTCAGAGGAATGTGATATTTTGTGTAGGAAAAAATGTAACTAAATGTTTACATCTTGATAAACTCCTGTATGAGTTTACTCCTGACTCCCAGGAACTGCTCTTTTCAGAAGAGGGCCCGCAAAAGGTCTGGTTTGTGAAACGAGAAGTGTGTCTTCTCTGAGAACAATAAGTCCTCTGCTTCTCTTGGCTGCTCAGTCAGACTTGATTCATGGTGGATTAAGCCCAGTTCTGAGGGTTTGGTTTTATTAGGAGATTTAATTATGAAATAATTTTCACTGATTCTTAAGCATTCTTTCCAGCTGTGTTAGCTAGAAATCAATTTACATCAGAAAAAGAAAATGTATTAATTTTCTGCATTTTATTATCTTTTGTCTGGAAGCTTCCAAGTACCTTGTAGAGATAAATTTTACCCCTCTTTTAAAAAGCAGGAAGCCAGGATACAGAATGAATCAGGACTTGCCCAAGATCACAGAGAAAACTGAGCAACAGATCTCTTCATTCTTGGCTAACTCTTAATATTGTGACACAGGCCAACATTTCTGACGTGCAATAGTAACTTATATAAGTGACAAACTTCAGGTACAAGAGGACCCCCACAGGTTTCCATGGGGCTGCTTGTGTGAATGAAGTTGAGCATTCAGAGAAAGTATTTGCAGGATTAAGGATTATGGTAGAGAATTGAGCTTTATATATACTTTAAATAGATTCCCAATCCTTTGTGCTTCCCATTGTTCTGCGTTGTCTCTCACTCTGAAATAGGGGATATCAGACAGCCAGGAGCACTGAGCAGACAACTGGAAGGGAGAAGACTGTCTCCTATGAATTAAAAAATCTAAAGGCTGACCCCCCAAATCATACGCTTCAGTTTCAATAACTTCCATGGCTTTGATATCAATCCTGTGATTCTATTTTGGTTTGCCTTCTGATTTTTGAACTCCTGGGGTTGGCTACACTGACATCATCTCTAAATTTGGTGGGGAGAAAAAAAGGCAAGCATTGTTAGGGTGAAGGAGCCTGAACAGCAGCAGCTGCTGATCTGCTCAGTCAACACAGTCTATTTTATCACACGGCTTGAGATTGAAGGTTTCTCAACTATATTTTTAGCACATTAAGTAAAAGTCTGTTTGTTTTTTAATGGAGGTGATTATACCCTTGATGAGGTGCTACTGCCTGTTTTGCAAAATAATAAAGACTGTTAATCTTATGATAAACTCAGGGGTGCAAAATGAGCGTCACTCAAACCTCTATTATATTATATTCATAGTCAGAATGTTCAGAAAAGATATACCTGCATCTCTGAAGTCATGATTATCTCTGCTTTAATGTGCATTGCATCAGTTACAAAACAAAAAAATTAAGTTACCTGAGTCTCCTGTTAGGGCTGGAGAGCGATGCAATTTAAGTAAATAATAACACAGAGCATCAGCAAGATCTGAACAGGGGATATGTCTGTTTATGAGCTGTACCTCAGGAATATTTTTAGTCTGTAATCCTTAGAGAAAGGATTTGTGACAAGAAACGCAGTATGTTAAGAAGTTCACTGTCATCTAAATAGCCCCTGAGCTGGAGACCACAAAAGTATTGTAGACCATAATTGATCGTTCAGCTGACTATCAGTGGTAGGTCAACAATTTCGTGACAGACTAGTGAATGCAGGCAGTTTGTCAGCCCACTTACCTGTAACTTGTTCCTAGACAGCTCTGTAGGAAACCCCAGAGCTGCAGCAGCAGCGCTGTGGCTGTGTGTAGATGGCACTGGCTGTGTCACACCTCACCCAGTGTCACCGGGGAGCAGGTGCTGGGTGAGCACTGGGAGCCATCGCACAGCAACAGCACAGCGCTGTGTCTGGGCTCCTCACGCTGACAGGAACAATATGTCCACACTGCCATTCTGCTCTCAGTAGCAAGGGATCTGGAGATACATATCCCCGTGTGACACTGCATTCTGCGATGCAGACATGCACCTGGGGAAACGGGAGCAGGGAGGGGATATCCTGGCTCCCACTGGAGTCAGGGGGACTTCTCACGTTACTTCACTGGCTTCAGGATTACACCCCTCGATTGTTTTACTGGCTCAGGGTTTCCCACCTACATATGAATTCACCCCACAGACTATTCATTGCAGTTCTTATTCTTCATTCAAGTTTGTTTTGCAACTGTTATAAACTGAAGAATAAAAGATAAATCTCTGGCAGTGAAGGTCTTTAGTTACAAGGACTGCCTTTTACTCTCTGTTGCTATAGTGCCTGGCACAGTAGGGGCCTGGGTCTTCATTGGAGTCAATGCAAGATCCTGTAGTAATAAATGCTCCTGAAGAGATAAAAAAATACAACAGCTACTGTGTAATGTGGTCATGCACCATAATGGCATAAAATAATTTGACATACAGACTAGTCTCATTACGTGTGGGATTGCACCTTGCTCTGCAAGAATTTGTCTGGTACTAAAAATACTGCCTCATGTAGCACTGATGCTTTTGCAGTAACACAAGTGATTTTAAAGACCCCAGAGCTGCCATTCACATAGATACAGGTACCACAGTCTAACGTATCACGGAACTCAGGGAAAAGCAGCCACACAGAAGATGAAATGTAGATAATATTTAACAATACAAGAGCTGCAAGACAGAATGTGAGCTGAAAAAGTGCTCTGTTAATGTTGTGAGGTGTATTTAAATACACAGGAAATTATCTGCCTGGATGGAATTTGGCAAGAAGGCCAAATTTAATTCTTGCATGTCATTCAGAATGTGTCGTGTCCACCTGAATAATGTTCTCCCAGATGCAAATAGGCAGAAACTTTCCAGTAAGCTGTACTTCGTTAGAAAATGCGGAGTTATTGAACACAAAAATACCTCACAGGAAATTCTATGGGTCTCTGGGTTTTTCTGTAGGGGTTTTGTGTGGCCTTCCTACAACTTAAGGGCACCCAGCAGGCTTCCTGAAACTCAGCTAGCAGCTGAACCCAGAGCTTACATATCTTCCATGTGGGTTTGGTAGATCTGGAAATCCTGAACTTCTGAGATCTCTGATCCAAGCTGGGGCTCCTGTCTTCAAAAATTTGGTTCCTTTAACTCGTGCCCCAACCCCAGTGGATGGGGAAACCTGGAAGACCTAGGAAAGCTTACCCAGTAGTGGCTCATTCATTTGCTCCTCCAGCAGTGGTTGCTGCAAATTCCAAGAATGCTGGTTTAAGTGAATGTTCATATTTTTGAGGTTCATACTTTGTTGGTAGGTGAGAAACAACCCCAGGAACCTCGAAGCTCTCAGTTCTGCTGCTTTCTTAAGGGAATATTCCCCAGGTTCACCCAAGATTTGTACAGTTGGTTCCATTTGTTTCAGACAAAATAGTCACAGCAAAACTATCCAATTTTTCTAATGTAAAATTTTCAGAATTTTAATTCCATTGGAAAATTTGACAATCCTCTTTTTTATTCTCATTCAAAACAGAAATGTGAAGCAGAGATCTTGAATTTGGGTGAAAGCATCTACAAGCATTGTCTGGGGAATTACTCAGTGCTCTCTCCTTGGATCAAGTGCTTTACACTGAGTTACTAGCATCACTCCAAAGTTGTGTGCTTAGGGGTTTGCCATCTAAGGTTGTTTGAGTGAGTCATTCTCAGCCTGCGAGATTTGGCATTTCCAGTCTGGGAGGATGATAATGCTTGGCACTTATTTCTTGACAGTTTATTGTTTAGACTAGAGCCATTAAATGTTCTATAACCTTCAGATATCCTGTTTCTTAACCATGACTTTTTTAGTGTCAAGATGTGTTGAAATGTATGTTCAGCATGTTCAGTCATGGTGTGTGCAGAGTCCAAAGCTTTGTGACTGTTGCACAAAATCTCCCTGTGCCTTCACAGCTGTAATCTTTCCTCTTGACAGAATCATTAAAAATAGCTGTGGATGTTAAACATGCTCCCTGCAACCCATAACAACAACATTTCATTGCATCAGAGTTAATAGCTGTGGAAGGACTGAGCACAACTGACTGGTGCAGTGGAATGTCACTACATTTGCACTGAGTGCTCTCCTGTCCTGTGCCAAGATGGAGGAGAACTACCAGCACTTCAGATTAACAGCCTCTGAAATGCACGTAATTAGGATAGAGTTTGCACTTGGTGTGGTAAAGAAGAATAATTACAGCTCTCAAAACACACATTTAACAAATATTCAAGCACTGTAACAAGTCACCAGCAAGCAGTGGCGAGTAAATTTTATTAGAAATCCAGAGATAGGTGTTGTCTGTGTGGGTACGCAGAAAATCAAGGGTGGCCAATACTGCAGGTCCCTCCTTGTGCCCCTTCCTGTAGTCTAGGTGCAAAGGCAGCCCTGTGCTCTTGCCATGCAAAAGCTGCATTTGCAGGTGCTTGTACCTTGCTTGGCAGTACCTGAGAATGCAAATGAATCTGGCACTCACATAGGAAAGAATACTGAGTATTTAACATTTGCCTTCTGACTCTAGTAGGACCACCCCTTTGTGGCAAAGTGTTTGCAGGACCAGGACTGGGAAAAGTTTTGGCTGGGATTAGAAGCTGTCAGTTCCCAGAATCACAAAAGTTCAGAAAATTATAGTGAAGGCCTTATTCAAGGCAGTGCAATGGAATGTCCTCACCATTTTGCAAAAAATTGCATTAATAAACAGATAATCTGGGAATTATTCCAGCAGATCATGCACAGAGACATCAAAAAAGAAATGGTGCTGGCGTTGTTTTATGTATAACGGATGAGATGTCAGCACTATGCAGAGATTTCAGCTCAGTGGTGCCTAACAAGAGAGGAAAGGTGTATGCTGGGGGAAAGAGAGAGAGAGAAGAAAAGTTTGAGACACTATTTGTTTAAAGAAAGAAATCTATCATATGACTTTTTTAAATGAGGATAAAACTACTCTCTCCAGCTGCATACAAATGGGAGAACAGCTCACATATTAAAATGGATCTGGGACTTTCAAGTACTTCACTCAATATGCAGAAAATTATACTGGATGTTGACAGCTTTTCTCCACGGAGAAGACAGCTGTGGGGGTCCTTTTATTAGACAGTGAAAAAAAAAATCCTAAAGTGAAGTTTTGGCAAGTAAATAGGCAAATATTCAATAAAATAATCAAGTGCTGTTTTTATTTTGCTGTTCAGTGTGGAGTTTGTTACATTTTCTGCAAATAATACACAAAACAAATCCCTTTTTAGGACTGTGGGAAGTACTCACATATGACAAATGGTGATTGGTATACAAATGTGCTGAGCTGGTAATGTCTGTGTACTCCAGAGCCTATGAATCATCTGGCAGTGCCAGTGTGAAGTTAAAGCAGATAAAAATATTTTCCTTTTCCGTTCTGGAACAGAACCAGGGAACCTTCCTGATAATTAGAGATGACGCCTTGTGAAACTACAAGCCCTGTGCATTCTAGAAATCTCTGTCCAGTTCCACGCATGAACTCTGCACAATCCACGTGTGAACTACATATATATTACCCTTATCCTCATACATGTACCCCTAGTAGAGAGCCAAATCATGAATTCAAGCCTGCAGAACTATGTGCTACCTTCTAGCATTCTTGAAACTGCATTACCCTCCATCTCTCCAGATCTAGAATCAGGTTGGGGGCAGTTTACCCCTAAAGGTAAACTCACTGGGTTTAGATGCAAAGTGACTGTTGTGGAAGTTCTTTGTCCCAGGAACTGCTTCCTCCCTGTCCCTGTGAGCTGATGCTGAAAAACACTCATTCTAAAGTAGTTCTTCAGGGATTCTTTGAGCTTTCTCCAAGAACAGAGGGAAAGCTGTTTGGGGGAACAACAGTTTGTAGTGTTGAAAGTGATGGTTATATCTTTCACAAAATATTTATGATCCTTGTATGAGCATCTGGGACACAAAACAGTTAATATGCAAACAATAGAGTTAATAGAGAACATCAGCAAACATATACAGTATAAATATGATGGGTGTTACACAGAGATAAAAATCAGCTTGGCAGCCCTTAATTTGCATTTCCATGCAAAAGACAAGTTCCCAGAAACAGCTGCACTATTCTCATGCTTTACTTCTCCCAGACTCAAGAAGGGCCTTTGCATTTCAGGGAAGGAATGTTTCTTCCTTGAAATTTCATATATTATCTCTCTTGGGTTTTTCTCTCTTAATTGCTTTCAATCAAACCAGGGGTTTCTTTGTTGTTTGTCTTTTTGTGTTTGCTTGCAGAGCTACAATTAAACACCAATTACAATTTGGATAGGTGTCAATGTAATGCCATTCCAGTTTAACTCTCTTTTTCAAGTCTTGATAATGTATGTTTTAATTATAGAGACTGTTATCACATAGAAAGCCACATGAATGAAATACAGGCGCTCTTACGCAGTTTAAAATGATGACCGTTTAAGAATAGTAAAAAGACTGATGAAATTGAAATACTGAGAGAGTTTTGTAAATCTCTGCAAAGGCAGAGGAATGCACTGATAGTGCAGTGAGACATGTCTGCAGTTAGTTCTCATTTAAACATCCTTATGTAGTTTCAAAAATTCATCCCATTTTCTCTTTTCAAATTGTGGACTTTTTTCTTCTCTTTCTACAATGGTAGAAATGAAAGGTTAATATTATCTTCATGGCTTGTCATTTGACAGGTTATTCCACTGGCTCATTCTTTACCTCTTTGCCACAAAGACCCTTTGAAGCTTACCCTGCTCTCTCTAACTGACTTTTGTACCTGACCTCTACCAGCACTTAATCGAGGGATATTTGCTAACTTAATTAGCCAGTAGTGTATTTTCTGTCAAATTGCTCCTAACCTCTTTTCCACATCTTCACAAGGCCAGATCCTCACCCGTAGCTCAGTAAGGTGTAAAATACAGTTGTTCTTCCATGACTGACCTTCCTCTCTTCCTCGTCTAATCCACAGAGCTATCCAAGGTGAGACAATTTACTGCCATTTTATTGACTCTTACGTCAGATTCCCCCAGGGATTTCAGTGCCACCTGGGGCTTCTTGGTGCTAGAATAACATAACTGTTTCATAAAGTAAATATAGAGAAGGAAGGGAAGCAGGTAGGAGTCAGGTTGCCCACAAATGTTGAATAATGGGACTGGCAGAAATGCTGCAAGTCCCTGTAAGCTGAAAGCTTACATTAACATCTCTATTCTGCCATCACACTGTATGCCCAATGGTTGTTAGTTTTGGCTGGCGTTGCACAGTAAAGATGCATTAGAGTAATTATATTGTAATGACAGAAGATCATGAGTTAAAGATGTTGTTGGATCCTGTTAGTACACACATCTGAAATTGTCTGGAGCTGATGTGGGAGGTGTATCCACATGGAATTTGATAGCACTGATATTGTAATTAAAGCTGAGGAGATGAGGTTTGTACTTATTTCCTACTGCTACCTGTGAATATTAATTAGCTCATGTAACCACCTGACCCTAGCAATAATCAGCTCTGTTAGATAGAGCAAAAGGGAACATATCAATTGCCCACTAAATATTAAGAAAACTGAGATTAAAACTGCCCAGCTGTGATAAAAGAAGGCTCCTGGAAGCCAAATTACCTCCTCCCTAGTGAAAGGAAGATAAGAATCTTTCCAGTTTTCCCTGGCCTCTGCTTTGTAGAGGACAAGGACAATCCTGGCACCACACAGGCAACAGAAACATATCAGGTTTGGCACACAAAGAACTAAGAGCATCTCAGGTCTGCAGAGATCTCAGATTTCTCAAGATAGATGAGATTTTCTATTTTCCTGCTTGCCTTCGTGCCTGTGTAGGCTGTAAGGAGGAGAGGTGACTCCAGAAGGCCAAGTGTAAGCCTGAGCTAAAGAGTGTCCCCAAGCCTGGATACCACATATGTTACTCTTTCTGAGGGCTTCAGCATCACCCTCAGAGAGAAGGGAAATGATTATTTCATCACTTACAAAGATGAGATGAAAAGGTACATAGGGAACCCCTATGTCTTTGTACTCGGGAAAGCCCTACGAATTAAACAAAATAAAACTAAAATTTTTGTCCCATGTCCTATGCTGTCTGGCAAAGTAATCCTTCTCACCATTCCCAGTAGTAGTGTAGCATGAGCTTTGGGGATATCCACAAAATTGAGTTCAGGAAGAAATTTGAATTTGTGGTTTTTAATGATGGCAAGTAAAAGCAATGGGGAAAAGGAAGATTAGTTTATACCTGCAGCATAACTAGGTAGTTCTGTTTTTCTCCCTGTTAAGACCTGGTCTTGTTTACTGCACCAGCAGCCTTCCTAATGGTTTCCTGATAAGACTCAGAGTTCATATTTTTGTCCTTGTCACATCTCTCTCTTCTCCTCCTGTCACAATTCCCTCCCCAGTCTTAAGGGTTTGATCACCTATGACATACAGTCTTTGCAGTCTGTGTGGAGGAACAGGCTGTGTTAAAAACATGGTGTGTTCCTAATCGCTTTAGGGTTGACTAGGCAGTAATTCTCAGAAAAGGTGGTAGAGCACGATGCTGCTGTGCACTGGTGTCTGGCTGCTGCTCTGCTGGAGATCCATGAGCAACAATAGCACTGCAAGTCCTCTTTCTTCTTTCCTGACAGCACCACAGTACCTGTACCTTAATCAGTCAGTGTCAGACAGTGTCACAGGCTCTGAACGCTGCTCGAAGCAAAGCACAGCACAAACGCCTCCCTGCTGCTGGTAGCTTAGGTTACCATTGCTAGGCGGAGCTGCCTGATGTAACACTCCAGTGCTCCAGACAGGCTGAAACTTTCAGAAATGTTGGCACCAACACATGTTCAGACCGAGACACCTCTAGCCTTGGGCCAGGTGGTTTCTGTGATCCCAGGACTCAGAGGCTGCCACCACGGCTACCCCGACAGTGACAGCACAGATAGGAAGCAGAGCTGCTTCCAAGAGGGTTGACGAAAGAAAAAAAGATGGTGGTTGTGATCACTGATATCGTTTTAGTCACACATGTTACAGAAAAGCACAAATTTATCTATATTTTATATGAAAATATTGCATGCCTCTTGGGCTATCTGATTTGTAAATTTTTTACTGGTATGATTTAAATCAGAAAGGATGAAGGGGGAAAACTACTCAAAGTGAAACAGTGACATAAATAAAAGTTTTAGAGGAAACAACGGAATAGCTGACTATAGGGAATAATTGTAGCTCCATCAAAGTTGGAGTGGTTTACTATTTCAAGCAGTGAGTCTAGCATCAAAAGGAATCCTAAACCTGAAACCCTTGGAAAGAAGTGGGTTATCAGCAGATACAAACCCATTCATGTAGAGAATAAAGAGAACGTTTTGAGAGTGGGACAGCCTGGTTTTTCCCAATTCTCTTCCTGGAGAATAACAGCATTCTCTTCCTGGAGCACTGAGTGGTTAAGCTTGGCCTTTTACCATGTTAACACGTTTTCCTCAAGGCCCTGTAACTTCAAGATATGAATATAGCTTTTTTTTCTTTTTTTTTTTTTAAAGTCTTGAATAAGTTATATCTGTTCAGACAGCAAACTGATGGAAAAGTTTTCAAGTTCCATTAAGTGAGGTGGAGCTGTGGTGTTAACACCAGAGTCTGGTGAACCATGTTCACCCATGGGCACTGAATGAATATTCACAGCACCTTTAGTAAAACTGTGGTGTTTAAATGCTTTACAGAATAAAGGCCACCAATGATAAACTTCAACCACTTCATGGGCCCCCCCTGATGCCTTTGTTATGCATGGAAAACAAACAACTATTTTGAGCTACCCTACTAGTAACAGCACAGACTGGAGGCTGAGCTGCTGCCATAGAGCCGATAAGAAGAAAGGATTGCTATGGTGGCTGACATAATTCTAGTTGCATTATGTTACAGAGAATGAAAAACATAGGTTTAGTAAGTGTGGAAATGCAGAGGAGTGATGACAGCTTTACATGATGTGCTCCAACTTGGCTGGGTCAGTCTTTCATCAAACAGAGGATCTTTATGTACGGAGTGAGATATTTGGGGTCTCAGATTTTCATGAGGGTATTCCTTCTGTGCCCTTTTTTGATCCAAAAGCATTTTCTCCCCTGGGGTTAGTAGTGTGCCTCACTGCAGAGACTTGTCTTCCATAGCAAGGGCCAGCGCTCAGATGTGTCTTCCTGCTGCATGATACAATGGCAGCTCTAAGATGTCTCCTGCAAAACATGTACACAAATGGATGAAGAAATCAGTGGCGCATTTTTTTACGAGCACAAGGCCATTCACCCATTTGAGCTGTTGCAGGACTCAGATCTTGTTTAGAAACAAGATATTCAGTAAAAATAGTAAGTTAAATTTTTTTTTTTTAAGTCCTATACAGATTGTAAATATTTTGGAAATTAGAAAGGATACAAAAATGCTCAAGTTCTGCATATTCAGAGGCTTCAGCTTTAGTAAAATCTTTTATGAGGGTACCTTATAATTCATATCAGCTGCCCCAGAAGTGAGAAGACAGTGGTGTTTCAGAGGCTGATTGCAGAGGTCATAACCTTCTGCACACAATATATTGAACAATTCCATCATTCCTGCCTTCAAAGTGAATTTCGACTGACATAGCAGAATAGAAAAAAAATGCTTAATAAACTAAGGGTTTTATTGCACACACAGAGTCTCATAGGTATGCATTCAGCAAAGAGTAGGCATGACTCTATAATAGGTGCACTAAAAAAAGCCGTATGTTTTTATTAATATCCCCTTTCAGTAAAAAGCCCTTTCCAGTTATTTTGTTTCTTATCCTCATCAGCTTTACATTTGTTTGACTATAGTATTTCCTTAGTAGAGAAACCTTGTTATGCGAAGTGATAAATATGAAATTTTAGAGAATGAATCTTTTATGGGCAGGAGCAGAGGCAGTGCACTGAGCCAAGTGAGGGAGTCAGGAGACAGTGCCCTGGCAAGCACTGGCCTGTGCATGTCCTCTGGCGAGGAGAGAAACTTTCCGTTGTGCTGCCCCTCCAGCCTCCTCAAGAGCAACCAAGGCAAGTGCTTCCAGGGGCCAGCTCATCAGCCCAGATGCTGAATCAGCCCAAGAATATTTAACTACAGCAGAAAAATGGATCACACCAGAGGATTTTCTCCTTGAAGAGAACTTCACCCCGTTCTGATTAGAGATGGAAATTTCTGAGGTGTTCTGGACTTCTTTAAGAGGTCTCAGCAGTTTTAGTGTGATCCAAAATGGAAGTCATGGTCATGCATTTTTCAACTCAGGCATAAATATCAGTTAACCCTTTCATATGATAAGATTTGTAAGGAAAATCTACCAGACCTTCATCCCTTTGAAGAGATCCATAGCAAAACTCTTTGATAAAAATTCCCAGTCTTTAGCATCCTCCCATTCAAAGTACCCCCTATGAAAAAAAACCTTTGGTACCCCTAATTTCCAGATGAGCAGCTGAACTCTCAGAGGCTTAGTCCAAATCCTCCAGAATATCAGAGTGCCTCAAAACATCTGAGAGCCCAACTGAGCCACTAAAAGCCAAGATGAAGGATGGGAAGCAAAGCCTTAAATCCAAGGCCTTCATGACTTAAATGTTAATCATAAACATAGCACCATACTTGCCCTATAGAGAAGTTCCTCACTGTAAAGAATTCTTCATTACCAGCACTTGTTAGCTAATTGCTTTTGCTTTGCAGTCTTGCTGTTTTGTTTTTATGTTGTACAGCCACTGCAACCTTAGTTTTCAGCCATATGTTGTCAGTCATATTTTTGCCTCTTGTAGCATTACTGTCAGTCTCTAAGCTGTTTATGAGTCCCTGAAATGTGAAATCTTGGTCTTACTTAGTTTTCAGCTAACCCTGCTGCTTAGATGCAAGAATATCACATTTACCATACACAGAGATTTATTTAAAAGCCAACTGTGAATTACACTGAGGAATCCTCAGTAAACCATGATAATAAATAATGAGAGGATGTTTGTCTGGAGGACTTTCCTAATGAGTTTTGGTCTTGGGAAGGCATTCTGTTTGGAAGTCAGATACTTTGTTTCTTGAGATTTTCATGTTTCTCCCCACCTATCTGGGCTTTCTGTGAGGTTTTGTTAAGAATTGACCATGGGGTCACTGATGATTACCCGTAGTGTGGAAAGGCATGACTACGAACATGCCTAGGGAAAAATGATTTTATGTACAATTCCAATGTCTAGTATTTATTTATTTGTAAACAGAAAATGTTAACAAGATAGAAGAGTTTTTTGGAAGTAGATATAGAAGTGTGCTTAGAAAGAGACTGTGGACAGCTGTGAAGTAGAAAATAGTATTTTGGTCCACATTCCTTACAGAAGGGTTCTTTCCCTGAGTTGCACCTAGTTGTGTTGTTAGTCTTGGGTTCTGTTCTCAAATGAATTTCCCTAAATAAACTCTCTCACTTTTGCAACTATTGCATTTTCATTTGTTCACCCTCCAAAACCCTCGTTCCTTTGAGAGTGCCAGCCTGCTCCTTCAGTGGCACACAGGATCTGGATAATACAGGATTGTGGCAGCTGTGTGAGTGAATATTGGTGCTCCCACTATTCCATCAGTTCAAACCTTCCTCACTCTGTAAGAAACAATTTTCCAGCACGGTATTTTGGACGCTCTGTCACAAGAAGATATGTGCAATAGGAGTGGAAGTGTTTACAAAGATACCAGTGAGGTATATGCAATGCATGTGCAGCAAGAAAATCAGTAGGGAATGTTGTACAGCTTATTATGTTTGAGGGAAATGGATGCAGTTCTGTGATGGTCATTGAAACCCCTGGTGTCCTGTATTACATCTGTTGATATTTCCTTGTAGGTTTACTTAATGATTGCTACAAATAAGAGAGCGAAACTTCTGTTCTTGAACAGTGAGAGGCACAAGTGTAATTATCTAGAGACTCAGGGTCCCAAGACGGTTCATTGGGCCTGGAGAGTTACCTACTGGGTGCTTCTTGGGTTCTTCAGAATAAATGGAGATCCAGGCAGTGGGATAGGAAAGTCACCAGACTTAAGGATTCCCCTAGGGACTAATCCCAGTCCATCTTAAAAGGTAGCCAGAGTGTACATAAGGCAGGCCACAGTTATCAGGAATTAATGTGTATGGCAAATAGTTCTGGTTGGATCTTTCAAGCTGAATTAGCCTGCACCGTGGTTCCAGGAAAAAGTCTTCCCTAGTTGAGATATTTTGTCTCTGCTCATTTGTAATGCAGTGTCATGCTGGAAAGAACTCTCCTTAAAATAGAACAAAAGGGAAAAATACTATTGTTAGATTCCCAAATTAATAAAGCTCTCACCTGATGTAAAGCAGCCCAACCATTTACTTACTGCATGCTGCAATATGTCCTTAGTGGAGATGCACAATGGGAAAATCTATCTGTTTGCCTCAGCTGCACATCTGATAGCCCTTAGGCAGAAGATAGGTTTGAAAAGCACCTAACCAGGAGCTGCACACAGTGCCTGGTTCTTCAGGTAGTGCAATGTTCAGCAGCCAAGTTAAAAAAGAATGCATCGCTCCTTTCCTCCTTGCCTCCGGCAACATCTGCTCATGTGACAAAGGGAAAGCTCAGTAGTTCTGCACTTCAAATACTAGTTTGATGTCTGACTTTATAATCAAAATGCTAAGTAACTCCGTGCTTTGCACTTACCCAACTGTTTTAATCTCCTACAGTGCAAGCAACCTGATAATGTAACAATCAAACAAGAGGTTGATGGAAGATGTAGTAAGCTCAACATATCCCTCCAATTCTTCTACTGTGGAGTGATGGATACTTCAAGAAGTGAAGAATTCCCCGATTGGCTTAGTTGTTTTCTAGGAATCTTTCTAGACAAACTTTTCCAATGGTAAGATCATTACAAAGCAGAAATGCAATCTATCCAAGGGCTAACTAGGAGGAAACCCAGCCTAATATATGGTGCCCTAATGCAATAATGAATCCTATAGGTATAAAAGGGATTTTTGGGAGGAGAAGAAATAGGGGAAATGTTACATTAGGAGAGTTAAGCCAAACTGTTATTTTTAATCACCTTATAACATGGGATGTTGCAAACCAAGGTCTCTCCAAAACCTAGAGCTAAACTGTGAAATGAAAAATCCTTGAACTCTTGAAATGTGAGCTCTCATCTATATTGTACTTTTCAAAATGAAATGGCAGTGCTGAAAACACTGGTATATCTCTGATATTCAAATCTTGAACTGGATTCAAATTTTACCTCTCAGTGGTAGCTGCAGCATGTTCTTCTGTTCCTTCCAAGATTGTTGCAGGGTGCATAATTTCCCAGTTCCATGGTGAAAGAGGCTGTAGGTATTTTATGGCTATATCAGAAGAAAGTCCCTCCCCAGTCAAACTGAAGCTACATCAGGCCCTCTGATGATGAACAAAATAATCTTTAAACTTACCTTGCCAGTGGAGAATAGTGGGAATTCAGGCTGGTATCATCCTCTCTGAGATGGCTTATCAGGAACTTTCATATGCAAATATAGAAAAAATTCCAGACCATCAGAAAAGAAAACTTAAAGCTTGACACTGGGGAAGAAAATGAGTGAGGAAAAATAAATCTTAGTCTAAAAAGCAAATTTCATATCCAGCATGACAGAGAGGAAACAGTTATCTAAATTATAGATTTACAGAGGGAGTTCAGCCAACAGAAAGTGTTGAAAATGAGAGACACTTGAAAGAAATATTATTTGCTTTCATCTTTCTTAGGAAAAAAAACAATTGCAATCAATTATGTTGTAATTATAATATTGGCTTAAAACTATTTGTAAGATTACTTTGCATTTAATAACAGAGCTTACACTAATAGAAGATAAAAGCTCAGTTTGCCTACTTTGGAAAATAAAACTTAAGAATTGCCTTATTCAAGTTGGAGTGAACCCAACAGTCATATGTGTAACAACCCATAGGGATAGTTCATGGCAATGGAAATATCTTCTACTTTTCGTCTTTGTAATCAAATTGATATGGACAGATCAGTTTTCAATTTGCTATTAATTGACTCCTTGTAAATACTAAAATTTTTGACTGTCTGAGATCAGAGCATTTCTACTGTCCTCACAAAAGAGATTATAACAGGATTCAGTGCCCTGCAATAAATGTAAAGCTAATCCAACACAACTGTACTTGGCAACTGTACCAAAGTACTTCCCAGCAAAACAGTAAGCTGAGAAAATCCCACTGTTACTAAAATTATACTAGATGAACATCAGGGCTCAAGTCCTGATGGAACGTGTATGTGTGAAAGGGTTTTTCTTTTCAGAAGATTTGATAAAAATTACATTGCATTTTCCCTAAAAAAATTAAATCCATTTTTAATCCAAGAATTATAAATTACACAAATTTAAGGGTCACTGACAGAAAACAAAAAAAGAAGTGGTGAATGTAGAAATCAGAAATGACTGTAACTCTGGCACTATACCGTAATCACTCACAAAAAGTGCTTTGGGATAATGTTTGGGTTGCTTGAACCACCTCAAAGTAGGTAATGAGAAAAGGAAGAATTAAAGGTGTTAGTGAGCCACTGTGTTACCTACAAGCTCACAAGAGTCAGCTCACCTTCCTTCAGCATCTTTTGAGGCAGTACAGTAGTAATGTCCCCCCACTGATTAGTAATGACCCACCAGCTGACTGAATGGGCCTTAAAGCTCTCTTTTAAGTCTTGTTCAAGTTGCTATCATTTCCTTCCTTTTTATGCAATAAATGCTACACTGCTAGGAACCTGATGTGTCCCCTTCTGGTATTGCAGCAGCCATTATTAGGAAAAAGTGTATTTTTTGATAGATAACATTATATTTTATTGTTTAAACATTTATTTCAATTGTATTATACGTATTTATATGCTATATATTTATATGCATATTTTACATATTGGTCTTTTATATGTGTATTCCTACATTACTTACATTATTTATCTAATTTTTTTTATGTTTATATTATATAAATTGCTTTATATAGTAGGTAAATATTCTATATGTATCTATTTATATTATGTATCATTATGTGTTTACTTCTTTATATTTTTATACTGTTTGTGCACATATAAAATGACAATATGAAGGCTTAGGCCCTTTCTACCTATTTGGATGGGTGGGAAGAGGAGGATAGCTATTGGGGTTTCTTTTTTTTTAATTTAATTGAGTCAGTAATAGCTGATGGTGCTGTGTCCCAGGCTAAGGCGGGTGCCAGGAATAAATGTCAGGGACCTGGAGCAAAGGATTTGACACTGCAAGTGATGCAGCAGCCACCTCTGAGCAGCAACCTCGTGCTGCTCTCACAGGTGGGTGGGTGGTGCTGGGGGTGTTTGGGTGGTTAAGCACAGCTTGGCCTTGCCCTGGTTCTGCAGGTGGGAGCCCACTAACCCCAGGTGAATGCCCTGTGACAGCAGCCAGCCCCTGCCCGGGTATGCCAGCTCTGCCCCAAGGGGTGGCTCTGCCCCTGCCCTCCACAGGGGCACCAGCACCAGCAGGGCAGCCCACACCCGGCACTTCACTCGCCCAGCGCAGGGCACGGCTAATAAGGAGCAGGCTTTTGATGTTGCAAAATTCTCCATCTGTTCCCAGGATTTCTAATTACATGCAGCTCGCTGTGCACCTCCAATGAGCCATAATTGGTAGGCGTTTGCCTCATTAATCATTCAGGTGCTGAGCCGCTCCGTGCACAACCGCAGCAGTTACGGCCAAGCACACGCAGCCGTGCCGGGGTTTGTGTCCTGGACCACTGCAATTTTTGGAATTGTGGTGGATTCCGAGGACATCTGCAATTACTGTAGCTCAGGGGCGTTTTAATATCCTGAAATGCCACAAGATGGCACTGACTGATTCCGAGGCCCCTCTGCCCGGCTGTCCCGCTGCCCGGGCAGTGGCTTTGCCATGGCCACAGGTGCACTTTGGGCTACTCAGGGCATTTTTTACGAACTAGCTGGTGGACAACAGCACTCAGATTTTCACGGTTTGTTTTGATCTGGTTTGTTTTAAGCTGCGGCCATGAAATGCTATGACTCTGTGACAATGACATGGAGCTTTAGGATTTAGACAGATTTGATTTTCCTACGTTATGTGCAAAGGCTGGTTGTTTGTTAAAGGCCTGAGCCAAACATACAAACAGAATACGAGGCCCAGGCTGCACAAGTCCACCAAGAGCTGACATTTGTTATTTGTTCCTTAATTGGGTGAGTTCTTACCAAAAGGTAAGCAGTCATGGACACTCACAAGAGCAAGGTCCTCTCCTCAGCTGAAGCATTTACTGAAGCAGTGCTTATAACTCTGCAACTTTGCGATGTGCTGCTGTGGTTGTTTCTTTCCAGAACCTCTTCCTGCCATCACGCTGATGAGTCCAACAGAGCTGCATTTAGCAACGTTTCTTACGCCCCTCCTGTACTTCAGCATTGGACACTCATCTCTAGACTCTTTAGGTTCATAAAGTCCCTTTGTTGCTATAATAGTAAGGCATCATTCACTACTTTTGCCCAAACTATGCCTTTCAGGCTGGCTGTAACATCCTGAATGGTGCTGCAGTGGCTCATCTGATTGATGAGTAGCAATAACTGCTTTTGAGTCCCTTTGTTGTGACATTGGTTTTGAGTTTGACCCATGTATAATGAACAGCCTAACAAACATAGTGTATTATTTCATTCCTTTATTAAGTCATTTATTACACTGCAAGTTCTTTATCTGAATCAGAAAAGTTTCTGAATAAAAATAATTTAATGTCATGGTATAACATTAGTCTGCTTTCCAGTAAATTCATAGATTACAGAACCTGCCCAACACTAATACAATAATTTTTTTATTCAAGAAACTTCTAGTCCAATAAAATTTTTATTTTGCCTGGAAATTGAGTTTGTTTTGGTTACCAAAAGGGAAAAACTTCTCTTTTAAATATGCTTCACACCTATGAGAACATACACATTGGCCATATGATGAAATACTAAAAAATGGTCTTTCTTTAAAAACAGGAAGAATCCCACATTTTTTCTGGGTTTGAATCAAACTCTTAGTCAAAAGAAAATACAGAAATAAAAAACACAGGCAGCACAAACACAGAGCAGATGTTTACATTTAAACATATGCCATTCAGCAGTTAAAAAAATGATTCAGACACCAACATATCAAAGGCATATTACTGGCATATGGTGTCTGACATGCTTCTGCAAATGAATACATACACCGGCTTTGATGACAACCATGCAAATTGTATCTTTCCACATGAACAGTTTATCAGGGAACAGCCAGATTTGTGCCTGTACACGAACATGTATTTTGGATTTCTTCTGGAGGACACAACATGTTGTAACCATATCATATGTCAAATCAGGAGAATGTGTGTCAAATCATCCTCCCTCTTGTTTCCTTTGAGACCCAGGGTAAGACTTTAAAGCATGTGAGACCCAGCAAGCAGTTCTGCTTGGCAGTGAGGGCCATCTGGCAGCTGTGCTGCACAGGACTGCAGTACAGCTCCAGGAAACACTCCTCCTCCTGGGACAGCGACCTTGTCTCTGAAAGAAGGGCCAGGGCAGAGAACTCTCTAAAAGAGCCAGACAATACAGTGGCAAGTTTCAGCCAGCCACATCAGGTTGGCCTTTTGCCCTCTGCACTGTAGATTTGCCCTGGTTCCTTCAGTCCCTCAGCACCACTGAGAGTACAAAACCCAAGCAGAGTCTCCCATCAGTTGTCACAACACGGTCCTCATTTGGTGCATTTGCTAAAACCATTCCCCACCAGATTACTCACTGCCCAGCGGGACCCAGGAACAGCAGAGCACAACCACTGCTGCTGCTGAGCTGCTCTCCCAGGGGCAGGCGAGCACAGTGAACTGGACACAATGCCCAGCTCCCAGTGCTCTTCTCAAAACTGACAGCTTGATCTCCTTGGCATATGGTTGGCGGTTCCAGCACATGGGAGGTGACCATTTCACCATGGGAGAAAAAAGTGTTAAAGCTTATTAATATTATGGGGAATAGTCAAGCTAATATGAGGTTACACGTCAAGGTACTGTCTAGACTTCAGCATGTTTCAGGGGAAAAGGCATCATTTCAGGTGCTGGAAGAGCTATGCTCGCCAAAATATGAGGTACCAACTCTCAGATTCTGGAGGGCCTCTAGGGTTAAGGGAATTTTAAGATTTCAGCTTTAGAGCTCAATACCTCAATTTTGCCTGTGTTCTTTCCAGAAAGTCGTGAGGACGTAATTGTTCAGCTCAGAGCCTGTGAAAGCGAGAAAATAAGCAAAGGTCATACTGAAGTTTACACAAATAGCAGCTGAGGAAGGTCAGGCTGTTGAGAGAGAGACTTTACTGTGCCCGTATGTGTAAATAAACAAGGAAAACCCCCCCTCAAAAGCCCACCTAACTTAAAAAGCTAAGTTAACCCTATAGTCCTCACTTCCCCAAAACAGGTCCAGCTCTAACCCTGATTTTGAGTTCAGGGATAGTACCTGTTTCGTAGGTCCTAAACACATATCTTTCTCTATTAAATAACTAACATATTTCTACGTCAGTATATCCTTGAGCCTAGCAGCTGATTCATCATTTTAAACAATCACCATTCAACCAGGAAGAGTTCCCATGAATACACTAAATAAGGAGAAATGCCAAAGTGTTGTTATTCCTTCTCTGGCTACATTTAGAGCCTAACGGGGTGCACACGCTGGTCCCACCGATGCCTGGGCAAGGCTTTCAGCTCATAGCTGGCTCACATCCTGTCACTTCAGAGCACTGAGAGCAAGCTGTCCTCCCTCCCTGGGGACAAGAGTACATCTGTTCCTCAGGCCAAGGTGCTGAAGACAGGCAGCAGCTAAGCAGTGTTCAGCATAAAAATGCCGTGCAACTCGGGCTAGCCTCAAGTTGAAGGTTTGATTGCAACAGAAAACTGACTGGACGTTTTCTGTACTTCTGGTCCCAAGCTTACTGCCCTTAAATAAAAATAGTGTTTATAGAATTTCCAGTTTATTTTATCAGCCTCTCATGTGTGTTCTCTCCGGTATAGAAAAGGGGGTAAAAAAATAGCCATATATTGTCTTCCAGTCACTCATTGGTCCTCCTTTAAGGACCTTGTAAGACATTTTTTGTGTATTGTTTCCCTGCATATGTGGGCAGCTTTACTACTTCATCCCCCTCAGGACCACTTAACAACATCAGCAAAGCAATTAAGTGTAGTTTTCAGGAAAATGCCAGAGGCATTACACTGTCTGGATGGGAGTCTCAACCCAATTATTTTCAGCTAGTTGTGAACTGTGGAAAGTGGACTTTACTTCATTATAACTTCAGTTCCCACTGATTAAAAGTCTAGTGTGTTACAGACGGTAAGGAAAAATGAAACAATTAAACTTTCCATCAATAAAATTGCTGCATATTCTTCAACATAGGGGTTTACTTCTCTCCAGAGGAGTGATTAAAATGAACTGATTGAACTATAATTTGATTGACTGAAGAGCTGCAATCCACTGCACTAGAGCTTAAATTCCATCTTATTGCTCTATTTAACTCTGAATATAAAAAATTACTGGCGGTCTTGCAAACCCCTTATGCAGTCATCCAGCTTGAAATTTCTTGCTGCTCACAGGCTGCAGCAGGTTCTGTTCTTTCACTGCTGTGTCTGCATGATTCACAATGGATTGACGTTGAAAAAGATACAATGACACCTAAGAAATTACATTAATACAGCCATAGAAAAAACAGAAAAGGCCTGTTATCTTCTACCTATTACATAATCATTTGGGACTTCTAAACACAAGCACAGACAAAATTAACCCAAAAGACTGGAGAGAATCATTGACAGGTTATATACAGTTGTTGCAGCAAAAATTAGCATATTCTCCTGATGAAAAATGCAGCTGTGTTGCACCTTCCTACTGCAGAGCTGTCTTCAGGGAGGTGTGAGGCTGCCAGATGCACAGGTTTGCAGGTATGCCTGTGTGTATATGACTATTTCCTTCTAGGAGATACCAGAGGTGCATATTGGGTCTGGCCTCGAGTGTAAGTTGTGCTGGCTGTGAATCAGAATGCCTGGGTTCCAGTGCAAAGACCGTTTCTTTGGACTAAGGACAAGTTTTTATGATTTGCTTAGACTAGAAGAGCTTCATCTCCACAGCTAAAGAAGCGTGCTGTCAGTGAGGGACTCCTATTGCACAGTAAGGCCTAACAAAGGTCTCAAAGGTCTAACAAAGGTCTAACCAGTTAAGAAACAACGAGCTGCTTCCTTCTGTCAGCTGGCTGCTATCATGTTTTGATACAGGAAATACAAGAATATTGATGCTCCTCTGAAAATCTAATTGAAATGCTTTCCTATCATGAGGTTGCCCGTCTGTTGTGTGACACCTGTCTTCTCTATTCCCACCTTTTTATTTGAAACAAAACACAGTATTTGACTTACAGCTGCACCACAGTAGCATTAAGAATATAATATAGTATTAAGTCACAGCAATAACACCTTATATTGGTAATTAAATGCATCAGGCTGGATAGGATGTGTGGATAAAGATGGGCAACAGCTAGTTAAATACTTAATACACTTCGTTTAACAGGCAGCTCAAACTCCAAAGGAATTCAATACATTTTCCCACTAACATCACCAAGAACTGGGGCATGTACTCCTTGATAATATTTACTACTGTGTTCAGTTTGCTGTGGAGCTTTGCACTTCTGGCTGTGACTGATCTACGAGGCGGCTTCACAGCTGATCAGGCCATGTGGGTGATTTGTGCCAGCTTCAGCCCTTGCACATTGCCCATCTCAGTTTTAAAGGGATGTCTGACCACAGTCAAGGTCTACCAATCCACTAAGTTCTTTGGCCTTATTGTTTATGCATAGGACATACCACAACTCTTCCTAATTTTTAGCCAAAAGCTACCAGAATTGTAGGGCAGTCACTGAGGCAGTATCGATCTGAAAAAATGCTGCCTCCTCCTAATTTAGAAGGAACACCTTTGACAAATTATATTTGGCACTTAATGATTGTCTTGCATTATTGGCCTTTTCTTTTGTTTCCTCTTTCGATTCCTAATTACTATCCATGTTATCCTCTACTCCACCTCACCATAGGTAACTTTAAATAAAGCTGTGCAGCAACAGTAACAGGAGCCTTTTAAAGTAGACAAAGGCAAACACAGAACCAAAAACGTTTTGATGTCTCTGGAGGCTGTACAATGTTTGCTACATTTCCTGAGCCCAGCTTTACACACACAAGTGTATCTTAAATGCCTACTTAATGCTTTTTAGTCTTTCATTTCTTACGAAGACAGATAAATTCTCTCAATTGTAGCACCTTTGCATAAAAGCTGCAGAACAAGGTGCTGTGTTTGAAGTAATTAATATCTTGCTTTCTTGCAGGAGGAGAAAATGGCAAAAAAAGGAGTCCCAAGTGTGAAACTAGCCTCGAGAATTCTCTAATTCCTAAATGGGAATGGCTTTTTTGTCATGCTGACACGAGTCATAAGAAATCTGGGGAGAGTGCAAACAACGTCAAGAGCAGGGCAGGACCTTCTTCCGAGCCCAGCCCGCGTTGGAGCACGAAGGAGGAGGCACAGACATCTGGTGACCCAAAGAATTGCTTCATGTGGTTCCCCAGAGAAGTGTCAGCAAGTGCACGGACAGGAACTGGCCAACAGTTCCAAGATGCCATGCTGGCCTGGCACATCAGGGGAAAAGTGAAGGATGATTCAAGCTGGATCTGTTTTCCATACCCACTGGCCTCCTGGCAGATGCACAGGAATAACCATCCGTAACTACCAGAAAGAACATAATTTTGCTACAGATGCTGCAAATCACACATGTGACTTCTCTTGTCCTTATTCTGTAATGGAGAGGAAACAGAATTTTCTGCATTTTAACAAGAAGTTGATTTCAAAATCTCCAATTACAAAAACACAAAAAAAAGTATTCATCACCAGATTTATGTTTGGAAAAGTACAGCACTTTAATTACATAGATACTATGACTCCCCACTTCTATGGGAATGTGATTACTGCAATTTCTTTGTTAGGTAATAGTTTCACTATTTGAAAAAACATTATTTAAAAGGCGTGGTGTTATCTATTTACTCCACAGTGTAAAAACCCCAGCAAAACATAGGTAAACACTTGAATACTTTCCTCCTAGCAACCAAGGTCTCTCACAATAGAAAAGCAGCATACCTGTCTTTTTTCTGTACCTTATATTAAGCCAAATTTTCAGTTTGCAACCCTTTGGCCATTCAATATAATCAAATTCCTGGAATATAATTTTAGGTGAAAGCCTAAACCAGCGATTAAGTCATCTCTTTGTTCATTTTCTAAAACAATTTAATTGATTTTTTTTTTCAAAAACACCACACAAGTAACAAGAGTGCCTTCAGGTTTAATGTTATAGGAAAACCATTTACCAAGCTACCTAAAATGACTTTGGAACAAAATTCCACATTGGATACATCCAAATCCCTATGTGAATGCCTCTGTCAACACTACTTCCATGTAACAGGGCCAGCTCTTCAGACTTTTGCATGTCCCTTACTTCCACTGACAGAAATATCACAAAATTAATTTTTGCCACTAAGCTTCTTTACATTTACTAACCTGCTGCATGACTTAACTCTTCAAATTACAGCAGCATTTTACAAAGTGCTGAGTTTCTGCAATTCCCACTACAGTGAGTATAAAACACAGATGCTGAGTACTCCCTTGGGATTTAGCTCTGTCTTTCATGGCAGAGATAACGGTGCTGTTTTTGCTGAAGAAATTAAGGTTTCAGATCTCTTAAGGTCTTTGTGGGATCTGGGATCCAAAAAACCCCCCAAAAAATCTGAAAATACACTATCAGAATCCTCTCATTCCTTCCATCCTTCTTTCCTTACATAAAGGTACGTCCTCCTTTCTTTCTTTTCTTATCTAAGCGAGACCTATGGTCTCCTTGCTAACTCTTCAAGAAAAACGGAGGAGCAACAGGAAAATCTCTCCTCCATGGAAAAGATGAAAGATACAGCTAAGTGAGAGGATGTGTCCTTCCCTACACGGTGTGGTCAAACAGATAGCCCCCCACGACTTTTCCCAGAAGAGTTCACAGAGAAGTGTCCAGAAAAGCACACGTTCTCCCCAGCAGCTCTGCAAACAGCAGGATATACTGCAGCACTCTGGGCTGCTGCTGCCGTGTCATTTCAGTGCCTCCGAGGTCAGCTGAGCGCATTAAATTAACACTGTTCCCAGGCAAAGCAAAATGTCTGGGAACAGGATGGCACAGCATAATAATGGGAGATGAGGGGTAGATACACACCTACATGCTAAATGACTGGAAGGAGTGGGGGGCACTGATGTGAATCTGACTTGTGTGACTCAGTGTCAAATGTATGTTATCACACAGATCTCCCAGCATATTATGTGGCTCTTCACCCCCATTTAACATTTTCATAGCTTATTTCGGTATTTTTGCATTTGTTTCACCCATAATAATTTATTTATGAGCTTAGGATTATTAACAATTTGAGGCTTCATTATAAACCATCCTGGGGGAATCTCACCTGCCTCATCTCATTACATTATTATTCCCAAATATCTAATTTATATTTAATAAGACATCAATTGAACATCAATAAAATAATAATGAATTAATAAAATATAGCTTCCTAGAAATACTAGTAGCTTAAGTATGTATGCAAAAGGCAGCGCACAGTCTGTCGGTCAGCTATCAAATCTCTCTGAAACTATTTGTCAGAACCATTTAGTATTTAGAATATGATAATAAGCCATAAAAATATTTAATTGCTATGGCCTTCAAGTAATTCTTGTGATAATTTTGACCCATACCAACCTGTGAACCTGACCTGGGAAGCAACCAAGAGTTCCATGTATGAAAACCATCTCCAAACACTGCAATGCCTGAGGGACTCCGTGTTTCCACAAACTGAAACGGCAAAAGAACTTTAGTTTTGGTAAATACTTAATTTTTTACTTTAACATGACCTCTTAAACTGAAATGATGTATCTTTCTACACAGAAAATCAAAATAAGCCATTTTATTCTTTTAAAACTGTCTTAAATGTCTGCCTATGGACACTAATACAGCATAGTTCAACATTACTAGTCTGGAGTTCTGTTTTAACAAAATATCAACCCAAAGGACAAGCTTTGGCAAATACAGACAGAATGGCATTATATCACCCTGGGGAATTTCAGTAAAGGCCCTACCCCTATCCCACCCTATGTCTCCACAGCAGTGATTATCACTAATCAGTGATAAATTTCTTGTGAGGGAAAGAGGAGGGGCAGTCACTGATCTCTTCTCTGTGGGGACCAGTGACAGGACCCAAGGGAATGGCCTGAAGTTGTGTCAGAGGAGGTTTAAGTTGGATGTTAGAAAAAGGTTCTTCACCCTCAGGGTGCTGGGGCACTGAACAGGCTCCCCAGGACAGTGGTCACAGCAACAAGGCTGACAGAGCTCAAGGAGTGTTTGGATGATAATCTCAGGCACGTGGTATGACTCTTTGGGATGGTTCTGGGCAGGGACAGGAGTTGGTGTCGGTGATCTTGTGGTCCCTTCCAACTCAGCATATTCTGTGATTCTGTGAATGTTCACTGACCCTTTTCCTTTTCATCCACAAAGCATGTCTTTTTTTTTTTTTTTAACTGCTCAGGTCCACTCATCAGCTATCTGCATTACACAAGAGAGGATTATAAGGCAAACTGTCCTCAGGCATGCAACACTGGTTCAAAATTACAATCCCATTTGAAACCTCAATGCCACTTGGGATGTTGACAAGTCCATTGAGAAGTGCTATTCAAACATAGAGAGGTTCTAGTTTAACATTTAAAATTTATTAAGCTCTAAAAGGGCCATCAGACACTCCGGTCTGATCTCCTACAAGAGATTTTTACTCAGTTACTTCTATACCAATCCCCATAACTCCTACTTGACTAAAACACATCTTCTGAAATACTTCCTGTCTTATTCTGTAAACGGAAAATCCATCGTCTCAGTGGTTCGCTCCAGCATTTATTACCCCACACTTAAAAGCATGACTTCTTCTCAATTGAACTTGTCAGGCTGTCACTCCCACCCACTGACTTGTAGTTCCCTCTACACATTGCTTTGGCAGCCCATATTTTGGGCCCATGAGGGTGCTGATAACACCACAACCTCAATGTGCTGGACTCATCAAAGGCACGAGCAGTTCTAGCACTCAGAAAGACACGAGCAGTTGCATGCTTATGGTCACATTCTTGGCAAACCTTTTTACCATGAAGGATTCATCAAAGTTCAGAATCAAGGATTTGTCCCATGTTCTTCCTGAGCAGACTCAAATACATTCCGTTTTGGGACAATCTCATAGGGAAATGATGACCAGTTTAACACAGAGATCACCTTCCCACACCTCTGAGGGGCGGTTCTAATTTTTGAGCAACATGCTTACCAGCTTTTCCATTTCCTGCCATGTAACCACAGTCACATATTGAAAGAAGAGTGCCACTCACCTTTTTAAAAAACTTCCACTATGGACTAGTTTCATTGCTCTCATTCAATCAAACTACTCACTGACTTGAAGGGATCAAGTTGAAGAGATTCTTTTCATGAGTAAGAAATAATAAAGTCTTCTGTTTCTGGGTATTCTTTGCAACGGATCCTGTGAAAATCAAGATAAATAGTGTACACCAATTCACCTTTAGTGAGGGCAAAAATAGTCTCCCAGAGTGACAGCTACCAGTTTGTCTCCAGTGAGAGCTGTATAACCTCTTCCGTAAACATGATGTTGAATAACGATTAGTCTTGTATTCCTTTCTTCTCTCTAGTGTGACAGATCCTTAATTATGGCTATTACATTAGAAATTGATTTAGAGAAATCTACATGGCTAAAGCTGTGTTCTCTGGACATCAAAGACATTATTAAAACCCATATTAGGAAAACTCAGAAGCATCTGCTGATGTTCAGCCCAACTAAGGAATGCTCTGTTCTATACATACAGCACATACTTTCAGCTCACTGCCTCCTACTCTTGGATGATAAGGCAGCCTGCAAAAATTGATACATCACTGGAAAGGGAAAGATTTACACTTGAAAGCACTGAGAGAAAAGAAAACTCCACCTCTCATTAAGCTCTGAAAAACTATACTAGAGATTTTGGTTCTCTTACCCAGATCTCTAGATCCTGCAGAGTTCACCCATCTTTCATAAGTCCCTGACTGATGTATTTGCAACACAACAATGCAAAAGCAGTATTACAAATTATGACTGGGTAACAGAAAATTGAACTAGAAACCAACCACTAAGGCACTGTAACACCAGCATCTGTCACTGCACCATAAGCAGAGCTGTAACATTTTAATTCTTTATGTGTAGCACTTAGGAGCATCCTTCAGGTATAAACACACTTCTACAGTCAAATGCTGAAGGATGTCAATGCAAGTACCCCAGAGAGGGAACAAGAGGGCAGAACCAAGAATCAAGTTTGCACCAAACAATAAATAATTCATAAACCCTTTACATGTAATTCTTACATAGCAATTACTAGAAAATTAATGTAACTGCCTCTCAAGAGAATTACTAGAAAACACTGTTATCTTCTGCAGGTATGTACACACAAGCTAAAGCTAAATCTATATAAGAGGTGATGACACATCATATGATGACTTATTTAGCTTCAAGTTGTTTTGGAGTATGTAGCGACTTATCGATAGACAACCTCTTACAACACTGACGATGTGGAAAGTAATGCCTGGCAAATTATCCATTCTTAATAAAACTCTGTGCTTCTAAGTATTACTGTTGATGGTGCTCTTGATTTAGATTCAGCTAATTTTTGTCTAGGCTCAGCACTGTGCCTCATCCATGTTTCTCCAGCTCCCTCAGGATTTGGAAATACAAACTTCTACTTGATGAGCCTATTAAAAAATTAAGAGATGCATATGCAGCACTGCCCTTGTCTGTCCATGAAATTAACACTGGTTCAGGATGCTAGAAAGGCATATGTGTGTATTAAAAGCATAGATTCCAAGATGAACACCGTATTATCTACAAGCAAGCTATACTGTCCTAAACGAACACTGTCAAGGTGTACTATCACACTGAAATGTGTGCAGAAAAAGAATGTGGTTCAGATGAACCACATCTGTAAAGATAAGTTTCTTCAGAACTTCACAGCCACGTGGTGATGATGCAAAAATCAGTAGATTTGAAACACTTCTCTGCCGGTTCCATACCTGTACAATAATCATTATGTTAGATGATTCTAAAGGATGGCTGCATTTCCTGCAGAGTTCACGTCACACTCACTCATTAAGAGCTGCTGTAAGCAATTGTGATATACAGACATGTATAACCTTAGCAGTAACATTCTGTGTGAATGCTTCCCTTTCCAAATACCTTTTAACCAACACCACATCTGCCACTCCATAAACCACAATCCTCAGCTGTGGGAGCTTAGCAGCTTTCCACTCATTTAGTCCTCTGTGGGCATTGCTAAAAATCAGGTCTCATGTAACTCTGAGTTCAAGAAAGTGTTCTGAAAGAGGACATTTAAACTATTTACGATCCGTGTAGCAGTTTAAATCCTGTATAATATTTTTGATGAAGCTTTTTTACTCCAAAAATCCACAACCTAAATGAAGGTCTGATAAAACCCCTGTGATTTGCCACGAAAATCGATCTTCTGCTGCCCAATTCCATTCTTAATGAAAGAGACAATTCAGAAACCTCCAGGAACATGCTTTATTGATTCATTCACAAGTCACTAAAGCCTGTGCCTGTGTTCCCTCCAGTAAGACCAACCACATAGTGCTTCTCATGCACTGAATTGCAGGAAAAGACAATGACCCCAAATCTGTTCTGCTGGAAGTCCAGTGAGAATAAACATGCCCAATAAAGGTAAACACAGTGCACCACTAAGTTAATGATAAATGTGTGTAGGAGACAAAGGAACTTATATTTTCTCTTTATTATCCCTTCATTTGAGCCTCTGCCTTCTTTGTAATTTATTTACCCAGGGCAGTTGTGCCCTGATGCATACCTGTTTTTTCAGGGAGATACCTGTTTCTGTCAATTTTGTGGCGGGGTTAAACAAACCAGGAGGAGGCCAACCTACATGTGTGAGGTCACACAGTGAACTGTAATCTGAACTGTGGCAGATCCCTGAATTCATTCAGGTTCAAGACCTAATTTGGCATAAACCTGGAGTGTAGCTGCACTGCACTGTATATTTAATAAATATGTCTTTCAATAATCTCTAACTCTTCTTATGAAAGCAATAAGAAGCAGTAAGAACAGCAGAGCCTATACTGGGCAAGCTTTCCTATTTAATTCCACTAATGCATTTCAGCTTTGACCTGTAGTAATTTGGGTAATCTAGTACAGCTCAATGCCCCATAAGAATTTGGGATGATACACTGTTTATGAGCAAGATACGAGGAAGTATAAGAGAGCAGCTGGATATCAAGGATCACCTAGTGGTCAGAAAAAAAATGTACTTAAAAAATAGAGATTACAAAATATAGGAAAACACATTATCAAGAAAATATGTTTTAGACAGTCCTATAGGTACTTTCAAGTACCACCAATTCAACATTCCTGTCCAATTCTCAACATTACATCTGCTTGTCCTGCTTAAGGGAATATGCTACATTCAGATTTAGTACCAGGTTTTACAGTAACTACAGTTACTACAATTATTCCAGTAGAAATACTTTGAAGTATGGCATGTTTTCAGGTTCAGGTCTTGCCAGAAACCAAAAGTCTTCTTCCTTCTACCTCATGACAGAATAGATTTTTGGGAGCCCATTTCCCTTATATCACTCTAATATTCTTCTCTCTTTACACATGCTTTTGCTAAGTGTCCATAGACCCAGTCAATAACACTCTTTACTGCAAAACTTTTCTGTTCACTTGTATCATGATTTAGTGGTTTTAGTACAATTCTATGTATAGAATGGCTTCAGAGAGCAGCCTCTGCTCTCAGGTAGCTGTTACTTGGATAAATAAGGTAACAAGTAATTTAGTGGTGTAGCGAGGAATTAAAATATCTTGTTATGCTCTTTAATATTTCCCTTAATTCTAAAATCAGACAAAACTCCAGCATAAAAATCACTTTTGCTTTAGAATTGTCTCTCAGCAGGGTAGTGTGCCCAAGTTATCGCTTTGTGCCATACTGTATGTTCAAAGCCATCAGTACTCAATGTGCTAAGAAGTGACACTGAATCCCACAATCAGAAATAAAACCGAAAGTTTCAAAAAGATTTCAGAATTTAGATGAATATAAATAACTGCTTTGAAGATGGAAAG